ATCACCTCGTTCCTCTCAGGGGCGAAACTCCTTTTCTTCTGCTTCACCGGCTTGAAGTGAGGGTCGACGTCAAGGTGGTGGACTGCCAGGTCCGTTGGGATCCCAGGCATGTCATCCACCGACCAAGCGAAGACCTGGGAGTACTCTCTTAGCAGAGCTTTCAGGTCCTCCTCCTCCTTGGCGGGCAACAAGGCTCCGATGCGGAGAACCTGGTTGGGCCAATCCTCCCTTAGGGGGAACTCCTCAATCTCATCCTGGGTGCCCAGCTGTTGGGCCTCATCCCCCGGGATGTAGGGCTCCAAACAGGTCGTCTGGGCGACCACCTTTTCCTGCCCTCGGAGTGTGGCCAGGTAGCAAGCCCTGGCTACCTCTGGATCGCCGTGCACCTCGGCTATCCCTCCCGAGGTAGGGAACTTGACGCTGAGGTGGTAGGTGGAGGGAATAGCTCGGAGGGCGTTCAAAGCAGGCCTCCCCAGGAACACATTGTACGGGGACGACTGCTTGACCACCACGAAGTTAACGGGAACGGTCCGACACTTGGGAGCCTGTCCTACTGTGACCATCAGGGTAATCATCCCTTCCGAGCTGATGGGTGGTCCTGTGAAGCCTACCAGAGGTGTCCTGACCGGGGTCAGCTGGTCATCCCTTAATCCGAGCTCCTTGAACACCCGATAGAACATAATGTCAACCGCACTACCCTGGTCGACATACACCTTCTTTACCCGGTAGTTGTTGGTGACAATGTCTATCACGATGGTTTCGTGGTTCCCGGAGGCCAGGGGGACCGCATCCCTTGGTCCGAAGGTAATCTCCTCGTCCATGCACAAGCGCTTCAAGGAGTCGTCCCCTTCGGGGGGTGGTCGCTTGTTCTTCTGAGCCGCATGACTGTCCCCTCCCGTGGGGCCTCCGGCGATGGTGTTTATCACCCCCGCCAGGTTCTGGGTGTCCTGGTCGGAAGAGTGGCCCCGAGGAGTGTCGCGCCGCTTAGGGCGGTCGCGTCGCCGTCCCTCGTGCCTATCCCCGTAGTGGTTGCGCCCCAACTCCTGACCTGGTCGGCGTACGAACCGCCCTAAAAAGCCGCGCTGGATCAGGTCTTCTATCTCCTTACGCAGGGCCCAGCATCCCTCCGTGTCGTGTCCGACGTCGCGGTGGAAGGCGCAGTACCGATCCTGGTTCCTTTTATTCCGGGGCGTCCCCATCTTGGGCGGCCGATCTCCCAGCCCTTCCGTCTCCATCACAGCCAAGATCTGAGCCCTCGGCCGTGTTAGAGGGGTGTAGGTCTTCTCTGGGAGTGGTGGCGGAGCAGGGGCCTTCTCCTTCGAGAGCCGGTCGAAGACGTTTTTCTTGGATGGGACGTCCTTGCCCTCTGAGGGGTTAGTCCGACCTTTCCGATCTCCGAGCTCTCGATCGGATTCTTTCTTTAGGCGACCTGCCTCCTCCGCATTAGCAGCCTCGTGCGCTCTGCGAAGGAGCTCCTCCAGGTCTACGGGGGGCTTCTTGGCCAGGTCGTAGAAAAACTCTTCCACCCTGAGCCCGTTCGTGAAGGCGGCCATCACCACTTTTTCGTCCCTGTCCCTGACCTGCAAGCTCTCCGCATTGAAGCGGGTCATGAAATTCCTCAGTGACTCGTCGGGCCTTTGCCTGATGGACATCAGGTGGGTTGCGTTCCTCGTGTAGACCTTCAAGGAGACGAACTGGGCTGCAAACTGCCGGGCCAGCTCAGGAAAGCTCCGTATAGACCCCGGCTTCAACCCCTGGAACCAGAGCCGCGCCTTCCCCTTTAGGAACATGGGGAAGGTCTTGCAGCGGACCTCATCCGCGGCGGTTTGCAGGCGCATGTGCGTCAAGAAGACTGAGAGGTGGTCCTCCGGGTCTGTAGAGGCATCGTACATCTCGATGCTCGGAATCTTAAACCTCCGGGGTAGCGGGTAGTCATCTATTTCCCGGGTAAAGGGCGAGGTGGCGTAGTTGTTCTCGTATGGACGGGGCCTAAGGATCTGTTCAAGCTCATCCCGGGCAGGGTCCGAATGAAGGCGGTTGCGAGGTCGGCTCCTGGCAGACCTGTCTGGGGAGCCCACGAGACCGTTCCTCGCAGGCCTCCCCAGTGAGGGACCCCTCGGCTTGCTCCCCGTGGACCTGTGCCGGGAGTATCTTTCGCTGTCTCCGACTTTCGAGGCTCGCGGACGGGGAGGGGTTCGTGGCCGTTTCCTCCTAGGGGGCTGATCTCGTGACTCATCCTCCGAAGGATCAGGGGGTGACTCCTTCTCCTTCCCCTTGGGCCCGGAGGTCTGGGCACCCTCAGCCTCCTCTCCCTCCTTCGCCTGCCGGATTATATCCTCCAGCATGGGGAGATTTTCCATCACGAACTGGAAAATCTGCTGCCTGCGCTCCCCTGAAAGGGCTGAGCCCCCGGCGCCCCGAGACGCCTCAGCCTCTTTCCGCTGGGACCCCTCACCGCCTCCAGGGCCGGCGCTGTCTACCGCTCGCTTGGATCGCGTCTTTGCCATCAACACAACTGCACTTACCTCTCGTTCCCACAGACGGCGCCAACTGAAGAAGCACGGAACTTCCCCGAGGAGAGCTGACCTGATCAGCTCGGCGTGCTGATGGAAGAGCTGATCCTAAGCCTGCAAAACAGAAAGGGTGAGCTGACAGAGGGGGCCCGAGGGTTGTCCCCGAGGGCACTCCGACGGTCAAGTTAGTTTTCCGGTGAGTGGAGTTCACGGGAAGTAGTAACAACCAGGAGCAATTTGCCTATAGTGAGCGTACCTTGTACAGTTGACGTATGCTACCATTTATACCTGCGAAGGAATCCGACCTCCGTATGTCTCGGGACCTGCCCGGAATAGTCGGTATCCCGCACTCAGGGGGATTGCCCCCGACCTCTTCGGGATGAACCCTCGCCCCCCATAGGAGCCCTAGTGGCGCGGCCCAGGTCGGCTGCCAGAGGCCAGGGGCCGAAGCCCAGCTCGGCCTTGCCTGGGCTGCCACGTGTCCGGGCTCAGAATGGGGCCTCTGCACCGCCCCTCCCTGAGTTTCGGTTTTTGGCCAAAAAAAAAATCAAAACAATTAAAATTTGTTATGGAGAGAAATTCCATCTATGAAATTAGCCATCTTGCTCGCCCTTGATTTTATAAGGAATGAAATTAGCCCCCTAATTATTGTGATTTGGTCAAAGAATTTTGAACATGTATTACGTGACATGATGACACCAAAAAAGGAGAGAAAATAAATACACACTTTAATTGAAATTAAACCAAAGGTAGGTAGTCAATTGAGTTTGAAATTTCTCTTAAGTGAAAGTGAAGAATCATATTATGATTATGGGAAATAGGTAAAGAGGGATCTATCAAATCCATCACTAATCTTGAGATTAATGAAGGAAGGTATTAAAGTAAGTGCACGGTTAAGTACAATTGGGAAGAAAGAAAGCTGATTTTCTATGCAACTCTGAAAAATGATTTATAGTACAACAAGAAAAGAGACATTAATTGATCATATAAAGGAGTTGTTTAAATGTAAGAGTTGAGTAAGGTACTAATTAAACATAATTAATCAATATCCAAGAACTGAAAGTTCTTCATTAATCTGTAAGACTTGATCCTATAGTCATAAATAAGACAACACATAAAAGCAATAAAAATCCATATGGTTAAGCATATGATCTGTAGTGAAAATCTTTTGTCTTAACCCATACAGTAGATATTTTGTCTTGACTCATCAAAGAAGAAGTGGGGAAATAAAAAATGAAAAAAAAAATCACAACTTCCTTAAACAAGAGCTATGCACGTGTTAAAAAATTGAGATGTTACAATAAACTCCCATGTCTTAGATAGAAAATCCATTGGCTTCAAAAAGAACAACATAAAGATTAGACTTGTTTGATTTGGCATGAACAAAGGAACAAAAAAAAATATGCAAGGGAGTAAGAAATATTACCGTCATTCCACTTGTCAAGTTATTAGGAAGTCATGTGGCAAGAAAGAAGACAAAGAACTAAACCTCCCTTTCTTGGTAGGGTATTCGCAGTGGTTTACGCTTTTTAAAATGTAATCCACATGTCAGGTCAGCATTCTACTATTTCCAATTTTATTACACATTCATTCACAATAGATTACACTCAATACAGTATAATAACATGATCCCACAATCAAATCAAATATTTATTTTTATAATGCACATCTCTAATCTCTCATAAATAAATAAGATTAATTTTTTTAAAATAATCACATTTTTTGAAAAATAAATTATTAACTTTCATTAAATTTTTTACCTTTTAGAGTTTTTATTTTCTAAAATATTATTAATTTGTGATTTTCAATAATATATATTTTTCTATCCCTCAAAAATATTAATATTTTTAGTAATTATTTTTGGTGGAATACCAAAAAATGAAAATTTGGGGTAATTTTGAAAATTTTGTTGGTTTTGATTTTGGGAAGATGATGAATTTTCTATGTTTGAAGCATTAAACATATTCCTAAAACTATTAAAATTTTCATCCATAATGAGAAAATAAGAACACTTTGAGGAATTGTTTAAGTGGTTGAAATAAATGAGTCATAGAGTATGAGAAATGAAGAAATATGAGGGTGAGAAATGAAAAGAAAGTATCCCTTATTTATAGAAAAAATTTTGGACTTCAGGCAAATTTTTTTTAATAAAAAGAAAAAAAGTAAGCAACGATCATCAAACAATGGCCCAATTGATTTGATAAAAAAAAAATAGAAAAAGCCCACAACTGGACCCAATCAACAAAGCATTACATGCATCATTAATATGATACGTGTAATGCTCATTAAACTTCTTCAATGGAACAACATTGAATGGAGTGTAATACACGTTCCACTCAACGCCGTTGGAGCCACCCTTATATAAAATGTGTGTATATAATAACAACATAAACATTTTCTCAAGTATAGCCCAAACGTGAAGTACCCAAACACACCTTAAGTTTTTTGAACAAGACGCATGCACCATGCGTTACATAGTCCGAAATGTTGAACAAACGAAAGTCATCATTGAATTCATTTATCTTATTTTTAATAAATAAGATTGAGGGAATCTGATCCTCAGTCATACAATGAGATCTTGATTCACACTACATTCCTCCAAGCTTCCCTCTTCCCCACTAGCATCCACCAAAAAAAATAATAAAAATCTGTACCCTAACTCCAGGCATCCAAGAAAAGCATGCACAGAAACAGAGGGAGAGAATAGAGAATCTCTTATATGTAATAAAGCATACACAGGACAGTTAGACCTACTACAAACGCATAAACTCGAAGGAAAAGAAAAACATAGACACCTGTAAGAAAAGAAAACTAATTGGGCTCAAGGAGTATAATTTATTGCAAAATCTTGCCCAAAGCCAACCACCAATTCTTACTCGTTGCATTCTTTATGTTAACTGTACTCCTTCGCAGAGTAGGAAGGAAAGGATATGAACGGTCCCTAAACCTTTCTTTAAGTTGCAACTAGCAGCAACATAGCGCATATGTAAGTTGACAAACACTCCCATCCCGACTACCGCACCAACCATTCTTTCCAGACCAGTTCTTTTCAGCATATTTCGTGCAATTCCAGATCACACAGACACGACCCAGCTTTGATCAATTCCTGTTCCAGATATTTCCAGTAATTCATCCACCATCACCCTGGTTTCACATATGCAAAGTAACCATTAATTCTTCATTAGAAACTCTGGAAAGAGCACCAGGATCATCCAATTAGACATCTACGTCATGCTCTCATCCGAAAGTAAATACAGCAGTAAATTTTCTTCTTTGAACAGGCACCCAGATACAGGTGCAAAAGTATGGCTCTTGATTGAACTGCTGGAATTATCTCTACTTCATTGTCAGCTATCTTCTTCTATCCCCTCGGCCATATGGATACACCTCGTAACCTTAAACGAAGCAAATTGACGCACTATAAAAGCGGCATCTGATCAAATCTAATTGCAACAATCTCTATACCCGTTTATCAGTCTTCATAAAATAACAGATTCAGAGAAGTTAACAAACTTTTTATCTTTGTGAAACCAAATTTTCAACTAATGGAAACATCAAAGATGTACATGAGAAATACGTTTGACTATACGCGAATCCTGGAGAGACTTTGTTTATAGATATTTCATTTTAGGAATCAACCAGGCGTCCCAAGGCTACACACCTGACCAACTCAATTATTTGTACCACTGGCTCTGAAAGCTTTTTGAAACACCCCTGCATCAACGCACATGAAAGCAGAGATTCCGCATTCCACAAGCGACAACGATAATGGATACCACAGAAGATTTAGGCACATAGCTCCATCTCCCCAAAATGGCACTACAGGTTCCCACCAATAGTCTGTCACATTCATATCTACCCTAAAGCTCAAATCAAAGGTTTAACCGTAAAATTAAACTGATAAATCACAATTCTTACAGAGCAGGAGCAAAATTTCTGCCATCGCCAGTCCAAACCACACCTCACGGATCCATACCTTGACATACTTGTCCAAACCGCGTCTTATATGGATTTATACCTTGACATACTTGTCCACATAGCCCTACAGAATAAGATTAGACAAACAATGGCATGAATTAACACAAAAGAGACAAATGATCTGATTGAATAATGAAGGCCAAAGACAGAACATACACATGCACATATTAGATTTGAACAAAATATTGGAAATCCTAAATTCTTTAAACACCAATCATACATTTAACCACCTACACAACTCCACAGATATCAACACAAGGAGAACTATTATTGGTAAATTTGTAACTTAATAATGTCCAAGAAAAGGTACAGATACAAATACTAACTCTTAGTCATAAGCATGTTACATCTTTTAACAAGAAAAAAGATGCCAAAGAGAGACACAGCATCCGAAATCCGTATATTCTGGAAGAAACAGCAAACTATAGAAAGGAAATACGCTGATGTAAGCTGGAATATACTAATTTTCGTGGTCAAGTGCCGAACAAATTGAATCAATGAACTCATGAACACAGCTTAGCATTGAAGAAAATGCATTACTTGCTTGAACATTTAACACAAGCATCAGTCCTAATTCGGATGCTCTAACCCAGTGAGATCTAAAAGTAAAAGGGTATACTAACATGGTCAAATCAATGTAGTATTTTTCACGACTTCACCTCCTAAAGGATAAAACCAAGCATAATTTTACTAACCTACAATACATTATTTCACTATCCATTTACTTAATCCTGAGTTAATTCTTGTAAGTTTACCAACCTAAAAAGTAAACTATCCTCACAACAATCAATTTGAAGAAAGAAAACTATTATTGGACTTTCCAGATGGCAATTCCTCCCCTAGTCCCCTTCGAACGAAAATAAAGATTCAATATATGCCATTGACAGTACAAATATTCAATATCATCAAATAACAGCAAGGGACATACCATCACGAGCTTAGTCAATTTTCTTTGTGATGAGTCAATGTAGTGATCAATCTTTGCTTGAGATTTGGGGATATGGTGGCTTTTCATAGCTCCAGACACCCTGTCAACAGTTTTCTTGACAATAGTCTTAAATGCCTCTTTACTCATACTGCCCTGGCGCCACGACGGCTTCAGAACTTCCTTCACAAAATCTGCAAGGGCAACTTTGAACAGCTTCATTGATCTGGAATCCTTGCTCTTCTTGCTTTTCCCAGTTGCCTTCACCTGATCAATCTCAACCTCTCCTGCAGCAGTCTCTGCAGCATCATTCAAATTACTTGGGCTTCCATTTTCAACAGCACCCACTTCTCCATCTGCTGTCTCCCCGTACTCATCATTCTCCAAGGATCCAATTTCTTCATCACATACAGCCCCTTTAAGCTTGTGTTCTTTCTTATCCAATGGCTTATTAGACCCACTGGACCTCACAATAACATCAGATTCATCTGTTATCTCATGCTTTTGACCATAATTGGATTTCCTGACTGAATTTAAAGATGGCTCAATACTATCATAGATAGGATCATACTGGCCATCACCAGGCTGTGGTGAAATCCCATCTAGAGGCTGAGCAGAATTTTGTGAAGACATCAAATTTCCTGAGCCATGATTTGCAATATCTCTCCCAGCAACTGGGACTTGGCTGAAGCTGTATGCAGCACCCAACTGATTACCAAATGGCCTGTCCCTTTCCTGGAGTAAACTACTGCAGCTAAATTTCGAGCTCAGTGGCTGGTCAAAAGTGCATGCATAAGGATTAAATCGGTCTGATATTCTTGATATACCAGTGTCAGACAAAACAGATGGCTGATTCCTGTCAAGAAAATCAGTTGTGTAGCTTGGCATAGTAGAACTGAGATTTCCATGCTCATGATGAATAGAAGAAACACCGTCAACTGCAGGGTACCGATACATAAGAATGCTTCCCCAATTTAAAATAAAATAAAATAAAAAAGTTTCCCCAATATATTGTTAAACAAAATTGGCAGAATAATGGTAGGAATTTCACCTGGTGGCAAAGTGTCACTAGGAAATGCTTGGGCCCTCTTCAGTGGTGATTCCCTTGAAAAGGGCATGGTCTGAGAGTGCTTCTTGTCCTTATCAAATGAGTTCGAAGAATATAAGCCAGGAACAGGCTGTCCAGTAAATTGACCTTCCCCAACCAGGCCAGCACGTCCATGTGACTGACTTGGCTGGCTTACGGGAAATGTCCTCGGATGGAGGTCATTCAACTGATCTGGAGGTCGATTTGGCTCCTGCATTGGAGGATATACCTGACTCTTACCAACACTAGAAATACGGAATTCAGTTAAGAAAGGCCTGGCAGAGGTCTGAGAAGAGAAATCATTTGTTCGAGGCAGCATATTCTGCATCGTGTGTGCTGAAGAAGCTGTATATGGTCCAGGTGTTAAATTCCTATCACTGACAAATGCAGAAGGTGGTGGAGGATGATGATACAGTGCTGATGGTGGTGGAACAGAACTCCAGGTTGGGTTTGGTGGAAAAGGAAATTGAGAATGAGAGTGACAAACCGAAGGCTGATAAAGATGATGACTTTCAACGGATGAAGAATGAGAGGGAAATACCCCAGCAGGTGAAATCAGATTGTAGTCTCTCGGCATCTCTTGATTGAATGAGGAACTTGTATCCTGAGAGACCAAGGCAAAGGACAGTGGCAAATGGGAACGATGATCTGATGAAATTGACTCCTTATGTACCATAGGTTGAGATGAAACACTCTGACATGGCAAAGTTTCATTCATAGTACTCAAAGTAACACGTGATTCATTGGCACCCTCCTCATTCACGCAACTTTTGTCCATCAGATGGGGGCTTGGGTCAGAAGCTGTTGCGTGGACAGGTGAACATTTGGGATGACAAGAAGCATCCCTCTGTTGATGCTGGTAATCAGCATTCCGTAAAAACTGATCAGAAGAATTACCTTGAGATTGATGGACATCCAAATTCTCGGAGGGAGAGAGCCTGCAATGGGCAGCAATGCCAGGGATCTTTTTGATGTTAGCCTCCAGAATTGGGTTGACCAGAGGCTCCACAGGACCACTTTTATCAGGAAAACATGTCACAGCTTCATTCATCTCCTCATTCGTATGCTTTTTTCCATCAGTATTAGCTTTAACTTTTTGAGGCTTCAACTGTTGAATCCTGCCTCCATCATGCTCCCGAGATAACTTCTTGTAAGGAATTTCAGTTTTTTCATGGAGATCAGAACTCCTTGAACTATATGGCAGATCTTGAAATTGTTCCTTCCTCTTATAAGATCTTGATCTATCACTCTTGTCCTCACAGTGCAGATATCGACAGGATGCTCCACGGTAACACTTGCCTCTAATGAAGTCAAAGCATTCTGAACGGTGACTCTTGTCCCTTCTCATTTTATCCTCACCATGTTGAAATAAAGGTGATCTGCTCCTACTCCGTCGTCTCTTTGGAGACAAGCTACAGAGCAATCAGCAGCAGATATTGAAATTTCATACATCCCATAATTCATGATACAATAGAGGAAAAACATTACCTAGATATAAGTCGGACAAGTAAAATTTATGCATACCTACGAGACCGGCCACGCTTTTCCCTTCTTCTCCATGGACTTCTCCTCCACCTGGTATCATGAGGAGATCGACTTCTGCTCCTATTTCTACTTCTTTTACCTTGGCGACGACTAAAGCAAGGTGAACCATCAGATTCACTGTCACTAGCACCTGCTTTAATCAACCTTCCAAATTTATCAAGCTTTGATGTAGAAGAAAAGCTCTTTGCAACTTTTTGCTTTTCGAAATTAGCATCATCTATCAGAAAAACTTTTTGTTGGTATTCCCTCTGTGGCATACCACCTTTAGGAGATTCTTGATTCCCATAAGTATTATCAACAAAATCCTCTGGTTTTCCAGTTGTATATGGCATCTCAGCCTCCACTACAACACTTTCTGGTTTCAAAATAGATGATTGAGGCAGCTGCTCAAGCCCCTTGTGAGACTCCAAAGCACTCTTAGCCCCAAGATCTGTGCCCCAGTCAACCTTGAAATCTGTATCAAGAGGTACAGAGTCCCTTTTAACAGATAGGGCAGCTGTGGTAGGTACCAGATGAGCCTCATCATCAGAACTTTCATTGGAAGCATAATCCTGCAAGAGTGTGAAAGGACTACCACCTTGGGTGACCAGCTGAGTGGGAAGCTTTTCCAACCTAACCTCCGCCAGATGGGCTGATGTATTAGTTTGGCTTATGACTTCAAGCAGTTCAGAAGTCTTTGTCACATTAGAGGTTGACAAGTTTTCAACATCTCCAGAGGATCTTGCAATCAAGCCACCAAGTTTGGTAACAGACTTTCTTATTATGGATCGATTTTGGTCGGAAGAAATTCCAGCACCTGTGCATTGAAGGGAAAAAGTTTGACAATCAAACTCTTCATTCAATCGAAAGCCCATCCTCATATTACATTGACAACAAAATAAGAGTGGATGACCACTCCATTCTGAGCAAGCTATGAACCAAAGTTGAGAGTTTGATAATTGAGATCAGATTGGAATAAATCCATCATATAATGGAGGTAATAAGAGGCCTGAAAAAAGATTAAAAAAAATAATTTGGAAAAATTTAACCTTCATTCTAAAATTTTTGTACATCTCAGAATTTGTTTCAAGTAATATATAGGATTTGGTTGTTTTAGGATTCATATTTCATTTTAAGAGAATGAAATCTTAACAATTTCATATTGTCCTCTAATTAATAGGCAAGGCACATACGTCCTCTAATAAGTTGTTTATTCACTCATTGACAAACCCAGGATATATTGCCTCCCATTACCTCATCTCTCTACTCACTCCCTTTCTACCCACATTTCCTCTCTTCCCCTACCTTGTTTTCCATCACTTTATCAGTAAAATTATGCAAACTAGAATATCATATCTGATGCAGCACCAAAACTTGGCAGGCCAAGCACTTATAAATAGCTGTTTTCAAGGGCTTAGAACTCTGAGAAAGTCACTGTGTTGTAGGAAAATATAGCGAGAACAAAAAATAAATAAAATCAGAACACGAAATAAAAGGAAGTTACAGAAACATGCAATGAAGGAGGTAACATTAGAAAACTCTAGGAACCACTCATTGAAGCCTCTAGGCATCACACCCAGCACAAGATTGCATTACACTAGAGGTGTCAAAATGGGTGACTTGGGCGGGTTTGGGTTGGGTAAAATGGGCAATGGGTATAAGTGAGTCAACTCATTTATACCCATTTAATTAGATGGATATAAATGGGTAAGTCAAAAAATGAATTGGGTAACCCAATTACCCATTTATAACCCATTTATTTTAATTTTTTGTAAACTCATTTAAATTCATTTTTGCAAACTAAGTTATCAATTTATACCACTCTTTGTACCCATCATTAGTTTTAAATATTTACTTATAATGTTCAATAAACTTAATTATCAATTTTTTTTCATTTATACTCTATGTCACAAAATTACCTATTATTTAATAATTGAATAATAAGAATATAAAAATTTGAACTAAGTACTATAAAAATTAATATAAAAACTTAATCCAAAAATTTTGAACCCCTAACATTTTTTTCATATATAAATTTAAAATTTCATTTTATAAAGATAAGAAAATAGGCTAAAATTTATCATAAATTGGTAATGCTAAAAAATGAGCAAGTTAACAAACTAAGAGAAAATAAAATAATAAGATAAAACCAACAAATAATAATAATAATAATAATAATAATAATAAAAACAATAATGAAACAAAAGTAGTTAACATCATGACAAAATGAAAATTTTGAAAAAAAAAAAAAGGTGGGGGAAAAGAAGAGACTTGGGGGGAAGAGAATTCTAAATGGGTTAATTGGATTTGATGAGTTACCCAATAATACCCATTTATTAAATGGGTATTATTAGGTAACCCATTTATACCCATATACAAAAATTTAAGATACCCATACCCATCTATTCATGGGCGGGTATGGGTAAATTTAGTTAAGTGGGTTGATTTGCCACCTCTACATTACACAATCTCAAGAAGATAATCAGTCCGCACAATTTTGTTAACGTAAGAATTGCTGTCTTCTCTTTATACAGAAGTACAATATTTATGGACTGGTGGATCAAATCCTATTCCAATTTACAGTACATTACTCAAACTAGGATAGAAACAATAATATTTTCAGACCATGAAAACTACCACCAAATCAGAAAGATTCCTCGTTCACTCTAAGACTGAAAGTAAAATACCAATACAAACATACCAAAAGAGAATTCCTGCAAGAATACCCCTAAAATACTAGACCAGAAAACATTAAACAAATAAATGAACAATGAAATAAACTTTTATAAAAGACTCTAAAGCCTCAATCCAACTCCCAAGGACGCTCCTAGTCCTCTAAAACATGCCAAATCAAATGGGCTTCGGAAACATTCTTGCCATGCCTCTTATAAACTTCAGTTGACATCTGCCATTGTCTCTATCAATATCCCAAAATGTCCAACTAGCTAGATAGACTTGTTACAAAACAATCCATCACTCCTATGAATGTGAGCAAGAGATTCAACCATATGATTAAGGTAACAACAATGTAGCTGAACTTCACACAAATGCCAAATGGATAAGTAGCCCATTTTCCCAACTGGCACTTCCAACCAAAATATTAAAGGGAAAAGGTTAACATATTCAAATTAATCAGTTTTAAGTAAAAACACTGAAAAGTCGAGTGTATAAGATGGAACCACCCAGCTGTAAGCTAATGAGAGGAAGACCGACAAAGATATAATAATGTCTTATGTGAAATCTTAAAGAAGATAATCAGTATGCTAAAAAACTATGCACATATACATCTGCTTGCTCAAATTTCTTGGATAGAAAGCACTTCAGCACAGCTCTTGGGTATGGAGTGAATTTTAACCAGAGATTCATCAATGATTTTAATCAATCTCAAGCTCAAATGCTAAATTAAATCTTCAAACACATTGGACCTTAGTAAACATCATTAAGTACAATGGATTATCACACAGACACGAGGTACACGTGAAAGAATGATAGAGCATAATAATAAATTCAAAACCAAACAAATTGACTAGCAAAATATGCATATATATGAACGAGCGAGAAAAGATAGATCTAATCAAATCAAGGATAAAACAAAGATCCAGACACAAGATATGTATACCTTGTATTAGTTCCTCTGATACTTGCCATCCAGAATATGTTAATGTCTCATCTGATGCATCCTTAGCAAGGCTATGTGTTAATGTCTCATCTGATGCATCCTTAGCAAGGCTATGTTCTGCAATACCCGGTAAAGGCTGTAATTCTTGCCACTTATCAAGTCTATTAGATACTGAAATAATCTCATGGCTTATTTCGTTAGGCGTGCAATTTTGCGGTTCTTCATCTGGATGTGTGATGTCATCTACGAACATTGCACAGAAGCTTCAGCATCCCAAATGAAGATCCCTCAATCGATTAATAATGCAAGGAATATTGACATGAAGCCAGCAAGTAGACCAATCAAGTAATATAAACAAATTTCTAGGGATAGTGGGAGTCAGTTCTGAATGGTCCACACTCAGCCCACACCTTAAGAAGTAAACCTTGCTAACATCAATTAGGACATTTCTACACCACATGAACCCCACCTGCAACTGTTTCGACCCCTAGCTTACTTTGTCTTTCTATCCTTATACAGAAACAATGCATGCTAAAGTGCATGGAATCAAAATACAAAACAAAAGGTATCACACTAAAATGTAGCTGAATAAATAGATTCGATAAAAAGAATAAATATCAAAGATATCATAAAGCAGGGATTTATAACCACTGCATTTTCCAACGCACGACTGCATCTAACAACCTTTTTTTGTGTTTTTATTTATTTTTATTATTTACTTTTGATCCACCACCAGACTCCAGTCCCAAGTGGGACAGCAGGAACCCTTCATCCCTGAAAACTATCTCCAGACGATAGCCATCCAAACCATCAAAAAGGACAATATAACCAGTATACAACGCTACCTTCAAGAGAAAACATAATACCTACCACTCTGATCCTGATGCTCAATACCAAGCTGAAGTAGACAACTACAGGTCCTCTCCAAATCATCAGCTTAGCCATTAGTTTTCTTCCTTGTTGGGTTTATACATCATATTCTCCTCTAGTTCTCTTTCTCCAGTGCAAGTATCATATTGCTGGATTTTAACTCCATTTACTCTAGAGTAACAGTTTCACGATAATAGACTATTTCCCTCACAGTTGGCCCCAGCTACATTAAAGTACATTTCATATTTGTCAAGAAAACTCGAAATTAAGCAATACACTGTTAATGACTGCAGAGGTCCTTTTTAAGTCATCAGATTCGCCATTAGTTTTTGACCTTATATGGATTTGTCCATCTCAGCATCCTCTAGTCTCTTTTTAATGTGCAAGTATCACATTCCTTGGTTTAACTGCCATCTAGACTAGAACAACAGTTTCATGACTTAGAATATCAAGTCCCTCAAACTTCCTCCTTGCTAGACAAATTTATAGTTAATAGTTGTTGCAAATACTTCATTTTTTGTTTTTGTGAATCCTTCAAATAAGGTAGCATGGAAATTGCAGCTCTTTCTTCCATCTCAAGACAGGGCGAATAATAAAAAACTCTGAGCTATTGTCAGTTCTATCAAGTACCTCAAACCTCCTCCATGCTAGAAAAATTTCGGGTAAATAGTTGTTGCAAATACTTTTTTTTTTTTTTTGTGAATCTTTGAAATAAAGTAGCAAGGAAATTGCAGCTCCTGCTTCCATCTCAGGACAAGGGGGAAAAAAACTCAGAGATATTATCAGTTCTATTTTCCTTACTGTGTTTCGAAATGACAGAAAGTGTTGTAAAGCAATTTTCTCTATATAATTGTATTCAAGACATGCAACCTTTGACAGAAATATACATACACATGTATATATCCAAGTGACAGATTGCTCACATAATTTGGTACCAGTAAAAGGTAATTTTTTAATGGTGAATATGATAAGTCTGCAACAACATATAAATAAACATCAATATACAGCTAACCAAAAGGTATTATTGAGCAAGTGAATTTGCAATAAATTAAAGTGTATACCCTCAATTATCCCTAAACTCAGTAGTTCAGTAACAACTAGACAAGCAGAAGAAATTCTGGATGATCCTCACCATTTACATGTCTACTCAGCAAGAAAAAAAGTGCCAAGTATGCAGCTTACAACTAGACAAAATTTCCCAGTACAAGTAAGATTGAGGAACATGAAGATCTGTTAGCATAGACACCAATTAAAGTATTCTCTTATAACATAAGCCATCATAACTATCAGCAGAAGCAACTAAAACTAGCAAAAGTACACTCTACAGTGCAACTTAAAGAGAGAAATAGTTAAAAAAGGAGGAGAAGAATACACTGGTGAAGGGCATAAATAGCCAGTTTTGTTCACAAAATATCCAACAAAATAAAGGATGAAATATATATGTATATATAAAGTGACCAAAACTAGTTGCACTAACCTTCCATGTCCATATCTGAATCCACAGGTGAGTAAGGGGGACTCACATTTTTTGCATTTTTCAGTTGAGATGCAGACCGTCCTGAAGGTCTCAATAACAGATCATGGTCCCCCTGATTTTCAACTGATCCAGATCCCAAAAGATATTTCCTTTTTGTCCATAAAAAATACTCATGAGCAACTGCAGTTTCACTCCCTGGCTGTCCACCAAACAAAAATTTGAACTCTGGATTACCAGACTCTTTTTGACGAGTCAAAATTTCAAATTCAGGGCCATTCTTGGCAATGTACTGACACAGAACCTCAATACTATGGACAGTTCTGTCATCTGCAGGCTTAGGTGGAGGTGACGGAAGATCTGAGATCAAGTTCTTCCTTAAAGCAGAAACCGACTTACCACCAGCCTCTCCATCATGGACAGCATCACCAACCTGATCTGATGTTTCAAGGGACGAACTTTTATTGTCTCTCGATCCAATTTCATGATGATAAGCAGGCTTAGATGCTGCTGGGACAGCTATCAATGTACAACTCTTTGAGAAAGTAGACAAAGAAGTGGGAGGTGGTGAAGATGATCGAGTGGGTGGAGATCCAGGAGGAGAAGGAAGAGGAGGTGGTGGTGGTAGTGCCGGGGGCCCAGCAGGAGCAGTGGTGGAAAGTTGTGGCATTGAGTGTTTAAAGGATCCAACTGGAGGAGATGTACACAAACTAGAGGCTGGTGGATTAGGTTGTACTTGTGGCTGCATGCTACCTGCTTGGGCTTGATGAACTTGACTGCTAAATTGTGTTTGTCCTTGTGAAGGAGGTTGTGGTAGCACTCTAGAAACTGACGGAGGTCCAGTGGGTGAAACAAAAGTAGTATGAGTCCACTGCAAAGGTAGCTGCACTCGGGAGTTTCCAGGCACTTGCAGTGGTTGAGGTGCAGGTGGAGGAGGTAAAGCAAAGAAAGGTTGACTATTTATTCCACTTGACAAAACTGGACTAAGTGGTCCTTGCTGAGGTGTCCCAGAAGGAGTATACTGATACACAGGGTGCCCTAGATGACCAACGTGAAGTGGAATCTGCAAACGGCTCTGCTGAATTGCTGTTGGTAGAGGCAGATGAGAGCTTCGCGAGAATGCAGGTGGGGGAGCAGGAGGACAATGTTGCAATGGAGGATAAGGACCTTGATCCGCTGGAGTTGCATAGTTCCTTGAACCATACATTTCAGATAGACAACAAGATTTAAATATATGAATCAAAGAGTTTTCATTAAAGGATTCTTCCCATGGGAAACAGCTTACAAGATCCACACTGAAAAGCAAATAAGAGCAATTCATTAACAATTAAAAGTTTTATGAGAGTGACTTTCAAATTTTTTGCCAAAAAAAAATTCTATAATAAGAAAATAAATTTAAAACCCAACCCTAATTGTGATCCACAAAATAGGAAAAAACACATAACTCTCCATGTTACAAAGCACCTCAAGCTTTAACCTGTACACAAGCACAAAAGGTCATTCCTAGATCCATTGGTTGAACCAGAGATGCTTAGTCTTCACTTAACAAGCCATAGTTTTACCAACCAATTACCAGAAATATACCCCCTTTTCCTCCCAATGCCAGAAGGCTCATTCTCATACTTTTCATAAATGACAAAAATTTCCTAATCTAGTCTTAGACAAATGTACCAACCAAGTAGAGGAAAAAGACCTACTTTCCTTCGAATGCCAGCAGGCCCGTTCTCCCTTTTCATAAGTGGCAAAATTTTACTAATCCAGTCTTGGACAATTGAAGAGCAAGAACAGAACCATCGTAGCAAGGAAAATTAAAAAAATGTAATTCCGAGTGCCAACTTAAAATCAATAGAAATGGTCAAGAACTTAAAAACAAGGACGAAAAAAAAAGAATGTTCTATCAGATGGACATTAGTCCTCGCAGCATTTTCTAACAAATTCCTAGAAAAGCACCTTTATCAGAGTAACCGTATCTGTAAACAAAACCCCATTCAGATGCATAAAGCATAAAAAATTGAGAATTGAAAACAAAATCGACCCCAGCAAACACTTCTGCCATTAAATTACGAATTCCAAATCCATACAATGCTTCCATAGTATATCAACTGAATCCAGAAAAAGTAGTCAAGTACATCAGACCAAAAAAAAAAAAAAAAGGAACAACCATTACAAAATTATACGTTGAAAAGGGCAGCAAGCGAACGAGTTCAGGAAATGTTTCGCGAGTGTGAATGAAGTTAAAAAGCTTACCAAAACTTGAAAGGATTCCGAAGATTGCGAAGTAAAATAAGCTTGACAACCAGAACTGAAACCCTCGATTTTCAGAACCCAATTTCTTTATTTCTAATCGCAATCGGATAAATCCAAGTTCAGGAATATATTGTTAAAACCCTAGTACGTGTAGTAGGGTGTAGTGTGTGTATGCAGATGTGGGATGTTGGCGTTATTCTATATTTCTACTCCGATGCTCAAACAGAGAGAAATGTTCCGGAAAATACACGAGAGCCAACGGCTACCGTTCCGATGAAACATGGCAACGGTAGTAATTAAAAATAGGAAAAATCGTTCGAGACGCATCTCATATAAAAATTTTTCTTAGTTTCACTTTCAAAATAAAAATTTTGCGTCTCATATAAAATCAATTAAAGTGTATTTAATAAAATTAAAATCTAACATTTAAAATTTGAATCTATTAAATTATAAATATTAAAATTTTAATATTTGATAGTATTTTGCGTTAACTGATAAGTAAATAATTTATCACTTATTTTTTAAAACGTGCACAATTCAGTTCCACTTAATTAATTATAATATTCTATTTTTTACTATCAAACACGTTTCAATGTGTTAAGATTTTGATTTATTAATTTTAAGTACTGAATTGGGTTAAGATTTTGAAATATTAAGGCCCCGTTTGGTAAATAAATTTTTTAGATGTTTACATAAAACTTTACTATAATTTATTATAAAATTTGTAGAAAAAGTTTTAAGATAGAAAAAATTTTCTTCTTTTTTTTCTTTTCCTTTCTTTTTCTTTTCTCTTCTCTTCTCTTCCTTCACCTCACCACTCACCGCTTACTAGCGTTGGAATTTCCACCAGTGACCGACACTGGGAGCAACAGGCTCTCTCTCTCTCTCTTTTTTCTTTTTCTCTCTTTCCCTCTCCTCCTTCCTCCTTCCTCCTCCCTCCCTTTTCTCATCTCCTCCCCTCCCCTCCACTCTCACTTGCTGCCTCTCTCCCCGCCCCATCCCTCCCCCACAACCAGTTCGTGCAGGATCAGAGGGGAAAAGAGGCAGCAAGTGAGAGTGGAGGAAAAGAAGAGAGAGAGGGAGAAGGAAGAAGAAGAGGGAAAAGGAGAGAGGGAGGAAGGGAAAGAGGGAAAAAAAACCCTACCTGCTGCCGGCAGTTGAGGTAGGGGAGGAAAAAGAAGAAAAGAAAAAGGGAAATTCTTTTGTATTTTTGGGTATTTTGTGTAAGGATCGAAAACAACCTAAGAAGGGGGTGAATTAGCTATATTAAAAAACTAATCAAGTTATGGACACTTTTTGTTCAATATGAAATTTATCCTCTTTTCTAAGTGATCACACAATAAAATCAATTAATGAATGAACAATATCACTTGAGAGAAGTAGAAGCAATTTAAGGATCACAGCATAACAATAAGTAAATAAAAAGAAAGGAATTGCAAACCAATTGACTACCAAACTCCTCTTAAACTTGAAGATCAACTCAAACAAACTTTTTCAAATTGATGAAATACAACTAATTTTGTGTGCAAAAGAAAACTCACTTCTTCCTTACCCCAAGTTTGTGACGCCCCGAACACTAGGAGTATGAGAAACCGAAAATTTTTATATATTTTCTCGACATTATTTTGTTTTCTTGTCTCTAAGTTTGTTTTTTTCAATATATTAATTTTTTTTATACATTTCTATAAGGAAATATAGTTTCCAAATCATTTTCTTGATCCAAGTTAGTCCACGTTAATTTTTGTGACGGTCCCACCTCTCCCTAGGGCGTACCCCAGGGTTCGGCGGGCCGCCTGCCCAACTCTCGCCGAGACTCCGTCGATCACTACAATCCTCAAATGAATACAATACAAATCTCAAGTATACATCAAATGGTCCACAAATACACATCCGTCTCCAATAATTACATGTCACAAATGCAGCGGAAACTAATCCCAAATATACATAAAATAATTCCAAATCCAAAATTGTACAAAGTTTAGGCCATCCATACACGTGCACAAGTACTACAAGTCCTTCCTTCGCCACGAGCCCTGTGGAGGGGAATAAAATAGTTTTTGGGGTGAGTTAAAAGCTCAACGAGTAACCAGAAAATCATTAATCAACTCGGTTTCACAATAGTTCATTTCAATGATGTCATATAGCAATGATGTCATAAATTAAATGATAAATCCGGAAACAACTACATCATTTGCAAAACAGTAAATATGGATTATCAATAATTCAAGAAACATTTACAATGGAAAGCGATAGTAACATTCATTAAAAGGATACATTCATTCTCCTGACATTTCCTCGCTCACTTGGTCATTCGTTTCATTTCATTCACCCCGTCCCTGGCTTTTGGTCAGGCTCCACCAACCTACATAGGTAATACTCGAGTATACCAAACGTTCACCCAAGTTCCTAATCGCCTGACCGAGTCCGCTTCTGACTCAAGACGACCGGTAACAAGGGGCAATGGCCAGTTCAGCCCAAAAGGCTTACATTCATGCGCAGGTAACATTTCAATCAAAAATTTCACATTTATCGAGGTCGAATGCGATAAAGTACACACTCGCCTCGAAAACTCGTTTTGGAAATCATTATAAGCGCTTAACACGTTATCAACAAAAATACAAGTCATGAAGTCAAGAAATATAGCAAACAAGGCACACTCAAATGCCAGCACACATGATATGCAAGAAAATATTTCAAAAGTAACTTTGGAAACAGTTCAAAAGTAAATAATGTAAGAAACGATTCATAAATCACTTTAGAAGTAGTTTGAGGTCACTCACCTCCATGGCTCAGAAATCATCCATCATATAACATTGCCTTGCTCAAATCCAAGTCTTAGATCACAAACTCAAAGCAATCAAACCCTTTAAAACTTCGGACAGCACTTCCCTAAATTTGCTTACTTTCCCAGCCATCATGGCTTCATTATTTCCTCAGCCAGTTCCAAAGTCACACAAATAAGTTCATCCAATAGCCATTCAGCAAGCTCCAAGTAGTACTAGCACAAGTCAAGTTAGGGAAAAGTCCGGAAATGAAAGTTAAACTCAAAACCAGAAAAATAGTTTTGACGTCATTTTGCGGTAATGGTACCAAAGGCGCTACGATTGTCGGATGAAGGTGAAAGACCCACCGTTTCGAAGCTAAGAGTCAGGGCTACAATATTGCAGAAGGTCACTCAACCCAGTTTCGAGTGCAAACAGGTCAAAAAGGCAAGATACCACATAAAAAACGTAAAACAGATTCACCAAAACGCATTCTAGCGGAAACATCATAATTCAGGCTCTACAAGTCCAAATCCAGAAATTCTAAAGGCATATGGTAGCTAATACATCAAGCTACATTTCATCAGAAGACCTCAAAGGCCAAATCGTGCATTTTCATGATCGAAAATGGAAGACTACACGAAAACAAAAATCTGGGCGCGAAACAGGTTTCAAAAACAGTCAAGGGTATTTCAGTCATTTTACATGCTACAGTGGTCGGATCAAACTGAAATTTTACAGGCAACTATTTTATAGCCTTGGCTACAACTTTCATGTTTTGGCCAAAATCTAATTAGGTGAGAATCAGGGTGAAAGGTCACGGTCAAATTGAGTGAAAAGGCAACCCTGTTCGCAGCACCCCTTCCCAGACCAGTCTCAGTATTTCCGATTTTTCTCACTCCACACTACTCCAATTGACCTAAAATTTTACAGACACCTTTAAAACATCAATACCTACAACTTTCATGTTTTAAGCCAAGGCCAATTCGGCCTCTAACCATGAGATACAAAACCGGACAGAATTGGGGATATAAACCCTAACTTTCTCAAATTCCTTCCAAACCCAAAATTGGTTGCAATTACCAATCATTTACACCTACTAGAGTTATTAAACATCATTTCCAACCATCATGGACAGCCACAACATCATGATCAAATTAAACCAGAAAAATCATCAATAAATCAAAAACTTCACCAATTCATCTCAAACCAAGAAATAAACCAAAATTTCAGCACTTTAGCTCCCACTAGGCATAACTTAAGCTTCATTAAGTGTAGGAGGAAGTTCAATCACCACTCACCTTAACAATAGAAGAGAGAGACAACTAGTCACCTTAACCTTCCAAATAACTCACCAAGAGCTTCAATCTTCCTTAGCTAGCAAGTTTTATGGAGTGATTTGCAATTTAATCGTTGGAACTCAAGATTTGAGCAAGAATTGAAGTTGAAGTTGAAGAAACTCTCTCTTGTCTTTCCTCACAAAAATTTCGGCTAAGACAATAAAATGGAAGAAATTGGGGTCAAAATTTGTTTAGTAAAGGTTAAGACAAGTCCAAGTCAAAGTCAAGGTCCAATAGTTAGGTGACAAATGGTCCTCTAGGATTTTAATCTTATCCTTTTGTCTGCTCCAAGATTAAACCATCTAAGTAACCTCTAATTATCTCTTAGCACTTGTAAAATAATATCACTTAATACAAAATTCCAACAAGTTGTCAAAAATATAATGCATTTACCGCACTAGCGGGTCCCACGTCCAAAATACGCTTTTAATTTCTCAAAAACTAACCGATACTAGAAAAATCATTTTAAAACTATTTTTACTCATAAATTTTATTTGGAAAATTTTTCTAATCAAGAAAATGTAGAAAAGGCGGGGGTTAAAAAAAAATAAACCCTAGAAAATTAGAAAATTTTCGGGTTCTCAAACTCTTTTTTTTCGGGGCATCACAATTTTGAAGTGCGTTTTGAACGTGGGACCCGCAAGTGCGGTAAATGCATTATATTTTTGACAACTTGTTAGAATTTTGTATTAAGTGATATTATTTTACAAGGTGTTAAGATATTTGTATTGGAGAGACAAAAAGATAAGTTTTAAACCTAAAGGTGACAAGTGTCACCATTTAATTTACTCTTGACTTTGACCATTTGACTTTACCTTTACCTTTACCAAATAAATATCAAAAAATTGACCAAAATAAGCTCTTATTTCAAGCTCTCTTGGCCGACTTTCTTGCTCAAAGAAAGGAAGAAAACTCTCCACAATTTTGGTCTCCAATCTTGCTCAATCTCTCAAATCAACCGTTTAATCTTGCATTTGTTCCATAAAACATCTTCTATTAGTGTTTGTGAGTTGTTTGGTGGAGTTATTTGGAAGGTTAAGGTGCCTATATGTTCTCTCTCTTCTATTGCTAAGGTGAGTTGTGAGGAACCACTCTCCTTCCTTAATTGATGCTTAAATCATGATTAGTGGTGGTATAAGGTGCAACTTTATGGATTATATTGTGATTTTTGGTTGAGTTTGTGAAGTTTTATAATTATTGGGGATTTTTCTGTTTTAATATGAACATGATT